AATGGATGTCAAGTCCGCGTTCTTAAATGGGTTCCTGGAAGAAGAAGTCTACATTGAGCAACCCGAAGGTTACAAAGTCAAAGGGCAAGAAGATAAAGTGTTGAGGCTAAGAAAGGCTCTTTATGGGCTTAAACAAGCACCAAGAGCTTGGAATAGTAGAATTGACCAGTACTTCCAAGCTAATGGATTCGTGAAGTGTCCACAAGAACATGCACTATATGTAAAGAAAAATCATCAAGGAGACATATTGCTCGTGTGCATATACGTGGACGATCTCATCTTTACATGTAATAACATGACGATGTTCGATGAGTTTAAACAAGTCATGACAAGGGAGTTCGAGATGACTGACATTGGGCTTATGAGTTACTATCTTGGCATCGAGGTGAAGCAAATGGATGATGGTATATTCATCACTCAAGAAGGATACGCGAGAGAAGTACTCAAGAAGTTCAACATGGAGGACTCCAAACCTGTAAGTACACCTGTTGAAAGTGGACTAAAGCTATCGAGGTATGATAAAGAAAAATTGATTGATCCAACTTACTTTAAGAGTCTTGTGGGGAGCTTAAGATATTTAACATGTACAAGACCGGATATTCTCTTTGGTGTTGGACTTGTTAGTCGATTCATGGAGGCCCCTACAACAACTCATTTGAAGGCGGCAAAAAGGATTTTGCGATATCTCAAAGGCACCGCCGAATATGGGTTGTTTTACTCTTCATTTGATGAGTTTAAGCTGTTTGGATATTGTGATAGTGATTGGGGTGGAGATATCGATGACCGCAAGAGCACAACTGGGTTCGTGTTTTACCTGGGAAACACCGCTTTCACATGGGTTTCAAAGAAGCAATCGATAGTCACTCTGTCCACTTGTGAAGCTGAGTACGTTGCAGCAACATCAAGTGTTTGTCATGCAATTTGGCTTAGGTACATATTGCAAGCTCTCGGCATGTCTCAAGAAGAAGCAACAACAATATTGGTGGACAACAAGTCAGCTATCGCATTAGCAAAGAATCCAGTTTTTCATGATCGAAGTAAGCACATAGACACTCGATATCATTTCATCCGGGGAAAGATAGCGAAGAAGGAAGTTCAAGTAGAGTATGTGAAGACTCAAGACCAAGTCGCTGATATTCTCACAAAGCCACTCAAGCATGATGTCTTTGCAAAGATGCGGGATCTACTTGGTGTTGCTAAGTCAAGTTTAAGAGGGGATGTTAGAAATTAAACTTGGCTTAGCCCAATCATTGGGTCCATTAGAAGTTAACTTATTGGGCTAGTAGTTGTATGAGAAATAATAAATTAGTTAGCCCATAAGTTGGAGTTAGTAAAGAAAGGTCTAGAATACTCTTTAGTTAATGTACTTATTAAATGATTCTAGAATATTCCTAAGCTAGAATCCTATGGAATAGTGTAGAATGTTAAAGACATAGGAGTGCCTAGAAGGATCCTAAGAGACCTATAAATAGAGCACTCCTCACTCATTTGTAATACAAGTCAAAAGCTCCAAATCAATAAAAGTTCCAAGTTCTTTCAAAAATCATCTATCTCTAAAATTCTCTCTTCCACACACAATCACCTAAATACAATACTCATAAACTCCTTTATTCCAACAATTCTGCGATTTTGATATCTTGACAAATTATTGTAGACTTCTTTGTCAATAAAAAGGATGTATTACACTTAGCAAATAATCTAAATAACTTGGGAGGTCCATACTTACATCTTAATGTATTTAACCAAACTAAAAGTTTAGAGCATATTAGAACATATCATTTGAAAGGTGGAAAGTAGAGAGATCCATACTTACGTTGAGTAATGAGACTTATTAGACTTATTCATGGGCTTTATATAACATATTTGAAGTAAGAATTGTCAAATATTAGAGGGTTGGAAGCCCATGTCCCTCAAATCGTGAATGTTCCTTGTGGAACTTGAACTGATATTAGACGTATCAGACTATGTTTGCTTCGTCTTCTAGCCTGAGAAAATCAAAGTTTGCTCACTTTAATTCCAAACATACACAACCCGCAAAGCTGATTCCTACATGGAAACATAAGCCTTGAAAGATATGGTAAAGCAGGAGAAATTGTGAAAGACTCCTGTATTAAAGAGTAAAGAAGGAGATAGTTGATTAGAAGGAAAAATAAGTTTAAGAGTATAGAAGGAGGTAGCTAAATAGAAGGAAAGATAAGTTTAAGAGTAAGGAAGGTGGTAGCTAATTAGAAGAAATTAGAAGAAAAGATAAGTTTAACATGACCTTATAGTTTCCTTCTACATGTATATCATGGAATTAAAGTTTGAAGACTGATGAAGCTTTTCACCATTCTAGCACCTTCTACTGGTTTTATTATTGATTCATTACCTTCACTACCTGACTATGGAAAAATCACACAGATAAGATAAGTTAGTAGAGTACTGGGCATTTTTCTTTGTATCTACGTACCGATAGGTTATACATTGAAATTAAAACATAAATAAGCTCATTCTTTTCTAAAAATAGGCACTATGTGACATTTAAACGAATGGCAGAATGAGCTACCTTTTGCATTATCGCATATACTATTGAATTGAAAATAAAGAGGTCTTTGGTTGGATGGGCAAGTTTATTTTTACCATTCTGCTGAACTGTCTCATGGTTTCTATAATTCTATTAAGAATGACATTATGCTTTTATCCAAAATAAGATCAGACATTATAAGTTACTGTGTCAAACATGCGATATGGAAAACATAAAACTCAACTGTGTATTGCACTAAAGGGATCTGACCTCTGAATGAAAATGAACAAGCAAATTTCATTATGTCACTGTCGGAAGAAGTACTAATGGAGATAAATTGGTATTGGCTTCTTTGCAACAACTCTACTGTCATTCTTCAAGATGAGCACAAATATTCTGGGAAGTGGCTGCACCAAGTGTACACAATCATAATCATCACCATCACCTAAATCCAGTTTTTTTGGTTTAGTATAAAGTTGTTATACTAAATAGCTTGGTTCTGACTAAAACATTAAATTGGAAGAACAAATGAAAAGTATAATCTGAAATGTGAAATGTACAATAGCACTAACCTTGAATACATGTTTTTGGGCTCAATTAGAGGCTATGTTAATTTTTTTTTGAAGAGACGATGTGAAGTCTAATGTGTCCTTAACACATGAGTGAACACTAAAAAACATGTATTCGTAGAAGGCTGCACGTAAATTACGATAATCATTCTAAAAAATGCCAACAAACTAACTTTAATTAGAATAATAGAATTAGAATAAGTTTTAAACTTAATGATGGAATGACAGCATGAGGTAAAGTTGTTCTCTAAAGTATTGACTTAAAATAAAATATCTGTAATAAGTGTCTTTATTCACATATGCACTTTCAGGGTGAAGAAGATCCAAGTAAGAAAAGTTAAGCTTACTATATCCAATTGAATAGTCTGTCCTTTTCTCTTTTGCATAATGCAACACATACTCCATCTAAAGTTTTGATAAAACTAAACAAAACAGTTGAGGTTTGTACAATTTCCTAGATACGAAAAATCAAAACACTAAACTTCATTAAACCTTCTACTTTTTGTTTTTTGTTTTGGTTTTTGGTCATCTCCACTTTTCTCTTGTATTCATTATGAGAAATAAAATAAAGCTTTTGACCAAGCACAGAAGAACAAAAGGTAAAATGAAATTTATTATCCTTGTCATTATTTTGTTTTGAAAATTTAGCCCAAGAGAATAAATACGGAGTAAGTTTTAGTTAAGGAAAAAAAGCTACAAATTTGATCTACTTACCATTCCCCTCTATTGAAAATTTTAGTTCGAGAATAGATCAATTAAAAATAAATAAAATGTTTTTATATCTCTACCTTTACAATTTTGTACGTAGGCCTGTCAATGGGTCGGGTCTAGACCCGGACCCGATCTGAATCCGCCACTTTATTTGAGAGTATGGGTCTAAATTTAGAACCGTTTCCCGGGTCCGTATCCGAACCCGTTACATGATAAAGAAAATGGGTCGGATATGGATTTTTAAGTTCCGGTCCGTTTTGGACCCGACCCGTGATGATATAATTATAGTTATAATTTTTTACATATACACACACAATATACATAAAAATATTTAAACATAAAATAACGAACATAATCAAATATAAAAATGTTTTAATATTTGTAGGCTTATTTAGTGGTTGACCCACTATAATGAGATTTTCACTAATGAGTTAGTGCTCTAGGTTCTCTATGAGTTCACTAATATACATATAGCATACCCCGAATATATTGTATAGTTCATACGGAGTAATGAATAGAACAACATTTTGCTTATTTATATACGATCTCTTCCAACATGAACATTTTTTTGTTATATATTCCGTATTATATTTGTTTGCATATCTCATTTAGTTCTTTTTTGCGAGTATGCCCGGCCCGGATCCGAGACCCGCTGGATCCAAATCTGGAACATATGTTTAGGACCCGAAGGGTAAATGGGTCCGGATCTAGACCAAAAAAATTTCAACGAATATGGATATGGATTTTATAGTTCCGGTCCGTATCCGACCCGTTGACAAGCCTATTTGTACGACACAGGTTAAGAAGAGAAGAAGAAAAAAGAGTACTGATTTTCTTCTTTTGACCATCTACTTTTTGTTTTGGTTTTTGACCATCTCCACTTTGCTGTACTACCTCCGTCCCAAATTGATTTGCAAATTTGACTTTTCTTGGTCAAACAGTTTAATTTTATTCACTTAATTAGGATGTCAATTTTTAATTATATTTTAATTTGAAGTTCATAACTTTGAAGAGATTTTAATGTACTTTATGAATATGTAAATTTTAATTATTAAAAATTGAATTAATTATCCAGAAGGAGCATTGACTTTTATTATTGATTGACCAAAAAATGTTGACTTTGCAAAACAAATTGGGACGGAGGGAGTATTCATTATGAGAAATAAAATAAAGCTTTTGACCAAGCACAGAATAACAAAAGGTAAAATGAATTATATTATCCTTGTCATTATTTTATTTTGAAAATTTAGCTCAAGAGAATAAATAAGTTTTAGTTAAAGACAAAAAAAGCTCATAATGATGTTTCTATTAAGAACATTTGCGAATATTATCCAAGTAATGATGTTTCTCTCGAACACTTATATAAATGTTTTAACGACTCCCCATTTCATAGTTCTTGCGCTACCCGTATGACATCATCAACTTGAAACTGCCGGATTTTGAGTGAGATTGAGCCTGAGTATGAAATTAGACGTTACAAAACCACAATATAAATAATTATCAATCTTGATTGCAGTTGAGACGAGTGAGGAATGACGATCATTGTAGTGAGCCACCGGGTTGCCTTCCAAGTCGACCACGAAAACTCCTCCGTCCTTCAGCTGTCGCCTTGCATACCACTCCGTCAATCCCATAAGTTTCCTCAAATATGGGTACTTTTGTGCAAGCTCCCAACTCAATGTGAAGTCCTGCATACATTTGTAAGGTATGATTGATTTGTAAACTCATTTCAATTTTATACTTTGATGTCTCATTATTTTGTTTATCATTTTTCTAAATTTCTCTTCAATTTGTTAAGTAAATATTAGTGGCACTCGTAATTGTGTTTTCTTTAATTTGTGTTGTTCTCTAATGTTAAAAAAAAACTATTTTTCATAGTTGCTTTTCCTTTACTAGTTATGAAAAAAGAATAATAATTCAAATATACCAAATTTCGTAGATGTGAGCAGAATACCATAAACATCCACGTGTGACATCAAAACTTTATGATTAAAATCAAAGAATATGACTTTATCTTAGAAACATATGTAGAGAGGCATAGACACAGGTTTTCTTCTTTCAAAATGCAAGTTTAATTTAGAATATTACATGCATATTGCATAATTTACCTGAACATTGAGGGTGTATTTATCGTCGTAAGGAAGTTTATGATGTTAAGATCACCTTTCATTTATGATATTTATATATCCAACTTCATTTAAAAAAACTAATTTTCATGATTGTGTTTTTTATTGGAAAAATTTATTTGTGTTGTTGTCACATTATATTATTATGCAATGTAAAATATCAATTTGTGTTTAATTACATGTTTCTTATTCCAAATGTGCTCAATATTAAGCAAAAAATCACGAGTGTATCAAGGGTGGGGGCAGCTGCCCCACTCAACCCCAACTCAATCCTATATACATATATATATAATTTTTATTTATAGATGTACTTGTGAGTTATATTTGTGTATATGGTTTGTAAGTATCAGTAAAGTAACTAAAATTCATTCGGGCAAAGTGGTTTGATGGACTTGTGAGTTATAGATGTACTTGTTAGTTTCCGTTTGTAAGGCTATCCGCAATGCGAGGGGTGAAACCCCAAATTTGAGATTCTCACCCCAAATGAGCTGCAAACCAAAGAAAAATAAAATGTATAGGAGGGTGCTAGAGTGAAGTGGGGGAACCCTTGGGGTGGGGATTAGGGAGGCTGATTCATGGTCAGTATAGAGAATGTTGGGTAGCGGCTCCTTTCCAACGCAAGGAACAAAGTAGGCTCCGCATCAAATGAAAAAATCTCATTTTTTAAAAAGTTGTATAACTTTTTTTTTATGATTCAGTTTTTATAAAAAAATGTAACAAAATTCATAACTTTTTATTATCTTTCATATGACATCAATATTACATCTAAAGGTTTTCAAAAATATGAAGCTTCATCGGATATGAAGATTTTTAGGCCCAAAATTTTTTATGAGTAAATTTATTAAATTTCTAAAATTAAGATCTCATTGTTAATTTCTTTACATCCTTTGGTATGTTTTTAAAAAATAGGTCTGAAGTAACAAAAATAATCAATTCACATTTTTATTTTTTTCTACATCAAAATGTTTGACTTTTTAAATCATAATTATTGGTAAAAAATTGTCACATAAATAAAGTGTAATAAAAACTGTAAGGGTTTATGCTGAGTGAATATATATATATATATATATATATATATATATATATATATATATATAGGTAAGAGATCAAATACAAACCATGCTTAAAATACTAACCTACAAACTCAATAATATGCAACACTTTGAACTTCAATATGCAGTACAAATAATATAAAGATGCACACTGTGAATTTCAATATGCATTACAAATAATATGCAACACTTTTAACTTTAATATGCAGTACAAATAATATGCAACACTTTGAATTTCAATATGCAGTACAAATAATATAAAGATGCACATTTTGTGATAGTTTGTAGGTTAGCATGGGAAGACTAGTTTGTATGTGATCTCACCCCTATATATATATATATATATATATATATTGACGAGGTTGAGTTGCAGGGAAAAACTTCATTGACTGAGTAATAATATAGTGAATACATATAACTGGTGGGAAATTAAATTTATTGACGATCTGTGTTGTGGTTAGCCTAAGAAGGGATAACCCACTACAAGCATTTTTAGCTTTGGTTTCTTTTTGAAAATTTAAAGCATTTTTACTTTTATTTTCATTTAGTACATTTAGTTTTAGTATGCTTCAAGCATTAATATAACTTTACATGTGTTTGAAAACTTATCTTGACATAGTGCTAATAAATACTCACAAGTTACAATTAAATCTTTACACATAATGTAAGTTGTTTCTTACAACTTATTAATTTGAAATTTGAATTAATTTTAACTACATAGTTTATTTGTACCTTAGGAAATTCAAACTTGTTTCATGAAATTAATTTTTGTATAAATTATTAACATAATTTGTAATATATCACAATTTCATGAAATTATATCAACCGTGAAATGTTTTACTCAGAAAAATAGATGATATTTTTTAGAAGTAGTAATTTGTATTATTCATTGTTTATGCAATGTTCATGATATGATATTACAATGCAAAATTTCCCTCCCTGAACAATATTTCAGGATACACCACTATATATATATTATATGTATATATCAATATTTATTTATTTTTATCTATTAGACACTATAAAAACTAGTCTTGTATTTTGAAAACTTCCATAGTTGATTTCGTACTTCATATCAAATGCTTTACGGTTATTATCCCTAAATGGCAGTAAAACAACTCCTAATTAAATGGAATAACATAATTTAATTTTTATTTATTTATTTCTAAAATAAGAGTAATAAATGTTTCGTCTTTCAAATATACTAATTCCTATCCACCCAAAAGAAATAGGGAAAACTGTCAAATAGGTCCTCGAACTTTCATAAAAAAGTCAATTAAGTCCTTCTATAGGAGGTTCTGTCCGGCCGTCGCGATTTGGGGCAGTTCCTGGTGGAATTTTTTGATGAAATGTTTTGAGCATCTTATTCACCAAGTCTAGTTTACTCATACCAAATTTCAGCTAAAAATTCAATCGGGAACACATTCAAATTAATTCTTGAATATAACTGCGCATTTTTGCGTTCTCGAATTAATTTGAATGCGCTCCCGATTAAATTTTTAGCTGAAATTTGGTATAAGTAAACTAGACTTGATGAATAAGATGCTCAAAAAATTTCATCAAAAAATTCCACCGGGAACCGCCCCAAATCGCGACGACCGGACAAAGTCTCCTATAGAAGGACTTAATTGACTTTTGTATGAAAGTTGGAGGACCTATTTGATAGTTTTCCCAAAGAAAATATATACACCCTTCCTATAATCCCCAACATGACTTATGTTATTAATAACAAAATCACAGTTACATTTATAATAAAAACAAAAAATAGCAAAAGTATTTATACATTTATACTAAAACCGTAAAAAATTTAAAATAAAAACTATAAAAATATAAAATAAAAATAAAAAACTTAAAAAATACCTAAAAATATTAAAAACATGTAGGCTTCTATTGCTACATCTTCCACCTTCCAACTCCGTCATCTCTGATCTCCCCAAAAAATGTCATCTTAGCTTGTTTAAGAATGTCATCTTCATTTAGAAAAAGAATAGGAAAAATTGACAAGAATAATCTCACCTTTTACATACCTACATTTTTTTAGTTATTTTCATTCTGGTTTCCTTTTTAGTCTCTAACTGATCATAAAAACTTTCATTTTGACAAAATGAGAACCAAAGAATTTTAGTCAATAGATTTTTTATAATTGTTTATCAAGTCATTCTAAAAATACGTAATTGTATTTGTATAATCGTGAATAGTTATTAGTTAGTTTAGATGATTCTAAGGATGTTTTTACTTGGATTGTTTTCCATCTCAGACCAAACTAGACTTAAACAGACCAGACCGGACATGACTTTCGTAGTTATAAAATACACATAAACCAGACATTTACCAGACCAGACCAATTCATATCAGATTTAAACATATCATACCAGACCATCAAATTTCAATAAGTAAAAATTCCTAAGTCCAATATAAGTTTGGAAAAATTGATAGTAATAATCCCAACTATTGGCGGTCCGCTCATAATAATCCCAACTATTGATTATTACAGAATAATCCCAACTTTAGGGACCTTCCGCCAATAATGGTCCCTATGAATAAATTCTTGTAGTTTCTAAAGTGGATGAGATGGGATATAACAAGTAATCCCTATAAATAATCTCAACTTTTAATTTTTACGCTTAATTTCTATTTAAAATTCACTTTTTGTAGAGGTAATATATGGTCATGGACCATTATTGGCGGATAGTCTATATAGTTGGGATTATACAAAAATAATCAATAGTTGAGATTATTTTCAGCGGATCGACAATAGTTGGGATTATTATTTTCAATTTTTCCTATAAGTTTCCAATTCAATAAATGGGGAGAGTAGAACTAGAAAGCTTACCGTGACAAGTGCAATCCAGAAGTGACCTTCTCCATCATATCGAATGTTGTCGGGCATCCCTGGCAAGTCCTCAACGAAAACATCCACAGTTCCCTTCCTTTCCCCTTTCAGGTATAACCTTTTGCACCTCCTCCTACACAATGGGAATGTCCGCCAAGATCACTACATATGTCGGTGCTCTACTTTTATTTACACAAAAATGTTAAAAGATTTTCACGATTTGGTAAGAATTACAATGCCAATATTTCATTTAATTTAGAAAGTTACTACAACAAACCAAGTACTCCGTATTGCTTTAATAACATATATGCAAAATGTTACCGTAGATGTAAAAAATGTCACAATTAATCAAATGTAGCATTTTTTAGTGTGTTGTATTTGACTGGTGTTACACTAGATATATTGTAGCAATTTATGGTTTTATTATAGCATTTCTTGGTACATTAATGTTACAATAGATATTACTCGGTATATTGTAACAATTTCTACGATGTTATAAAATGAATGCTAAAATAGACACTTTTTTATACTAGTGATCTGAGTAGGCATTTTAGACTTTTAAAAATCTACATTAAACACATGTATAATTTTAGACTTTTAAAAATTTACATTGAATACACTTGAACTTTTAACATTTCTTGTACTATACACCCCATACATGTTAGCTACTCTTCAATTAAACATTAAACTTAACTGAAATGTCATTAATTATACGGACTAATATTCTGATTGAAGAGTAATCTTAACCCATATTTGTCTTGTTCTGTTATAGCTAATTTAAATTTAGACAAAAATACTAGTACTAGTTTACTCCCTATATCTAGGCGTGAAGTAGTGTGAACTGGTCTCGATTCTACTTTCGGGCCGGTTATATTACTACTGTTGCGGTCCCAGTTCTAATTTTTGTTTGGATTCTACACGAATACTATCTACTCCGTATGTTTTATAAATGGATTTACATCACTTTTGAAATGCTTCCAATAATGCTTCAAATACAAAAGAAGTAGATTAAAACGGAATCAGACCAACCGCTCCCGATCCCAACAACCGCAGTTCAGGACTGGTCCCCGTGAACCCAAGGGCCGGTCTTCTTACGAAACCGCCTAAACCGGCCTTGATCCAGTTCCAGTTACAAGTTACACAACCCGTTCACCCCTACCTCTATCGATATCACCCAATGAGAAATATAGGTTAATACTTAATATATGAGATTTCTTCATCCCTAGCATCCTCCAACATAGTACCCGGTACCCCATACCCCCCCACATAGATGAATAGCATACTTACAACGGAGTTTCGCAAAAAATGACAAAGCTTTGGTCTGGAGAGACAGCAACACCATTGGCAAAGAACAGATCCTTGGCTAGCACTTTGGTGTGCTTTGTGCTGGGATCATAACTTAGAAATCTGCCGTAGGGTCTTCCGTCAAGAAAATCAAAAGCAAAATCCTTAAGACTGTATTTCCAAGATGCATCCGTGAAATAGATGGTGCCATCCTCTGCAACAGCTACATCGTCCGTTAGTTTGAACTTTACTCCATCCGCCTCGTCCGTCAGCAATTCCACCTTACCCTCTCTCGTCACATTTAGGAGTCCCTGCCTCGGAAATTATTAGGATTAAATTAAAGATTATTTAGAAAAATGTAATATTGATTCTAATAGTAATATTGGCTATATTAATATAACTTATGACCAATTTTTACAAGACTATAGTGACCTTGATCATGACATTATAGAGTTATGCCACGGAGAATAGTAACTATTAAAGTAATATTTTGAGTAAATAGTACATATATTAAGTTTTATTTTGGTAATATATATTGGTGATATTTTTTGTAAATAGTAAGTTTTACGGAGTATTTTTTTATAATATTTTTAAAAAAATCTTCATAATTAAATTATATAGAATATTTGCTCCACACACGAGATTGATTTAAAACAACATATCACTCACTATATAAAGATCCTGATCCATTTATATTAGTTTGACCAAAAATGGAACACTAATCTTAACTTGGGAGTTGGGACTTTGTCAGTAACTTTTTTGGGTAAGAATGAGGTAAAACTCACAATTTCAGCATCAGCAACTATGACTTCACCGTGATGGCCAAGAGCGAGTCCAAGCGGCCTGCCGCCGGTGTTGACCCAGTCCTCCACCACCGAGTCGGCGGCGGAAGACTCGTTGACCGTCACTCTCTTGACCCACCCATCCATACACCCGGTGTAAATGACTCCCGTCTCGGGATCGTACAAGATGTCCTCCGGGCCCCACACCCGCCCCACTCCTATCTTCTCGGAGCCATGAAACATGCTCTACTTTTATTTACACAAAAATGTTAAAAGATTTTCTGGATTTGGTAAGAATTACAATGCCAATACTACATTTAATTTAGAAAGTCACTACAACAAACAAAGTACTCCGTATTGCTTTTATATGATATATGCAAAATGTTACACTAGATGTCAAAAATGTTACAATTAATCAAATATAGCATTTTTTAGTATGTTGTTGGTGTTACAATAGATATATTGTAGCAATTTATGGTTTTACTGTAGCATTTCTTGGTACATTAATGTTACAACAAATATTACTCCGTATATTGTAACAATTTTTAATAAAATGAATGCTAAAATAGACACTTTATATACTAGTGATCTGAGTAAGCATTTTAAACTTTTAAAAATCTACATAAAACACATTTAGAATTTTAGACTTTTAAAAATTCACATTGAATACACTTAAACTTTTAACATTTCTTGTATTATACACCCCCATATGTACGTGTTAGCTACTCTTCAATTCAACATTAAATTTAACTGAAATATCATTAATTATAATATTCTGATTGAAGAGTAATCTTAACCCATATTTGTCTTGTTCTTTTACAGCTAATTTACATTTGGACAAAAATACTAGTTTACTCCCTATATCTAGGCGTGAAGTAGTGTGAACTGGTCTAGATTCTACTTTCGGGCCGGTTATATTACTCCTGTTGCAGTCCCGGTTCTGTTTTTTGTTTTTGTTTATACACAAATACTATCTACTCCGTATGTTTTATAAATGGCTTTACATCACTTTTGAAATGCTTCCAATAATGCTTCAAATAGAAAAGAAGTAGATTAAAACGGAATAAGACCGACCGCTCCCGATCCCAACAACCGCAGTTCAGGACTGGTCCCCGTGAACCCAAGGGCCGGTCTTCTAACGAAACCGCCTAAACCGGCCTTGATCCAGTTCCAGTTACAAGTTACACAACCCGTTCACCCCTACCTCTATCGATATCACCCAATGAGAAATATAGGTTAATACTTAATATATGAGATTTCTTCATCCCTAGCATCCTCCAACATAGCACCCGACACCCCATAGGACCATATCCCCCCACATAGATGAATAGCATACTTACAATGGAGTTTCGCAAAAAATGACAAAGCTCTGGTCTGGAGAGACAGCAACGCCATTTGCAAAGAACAAATCCTTGGCTAGCACTCTAGTGTGCTTAGTGTTGGGATCATAACTTAGAAATCTGCCGTAGGCTCTGCCGTCAAGAATATCCAAAGCAGAATCCTTAAGACTGTATTTCCAGGATGCATCCGTGAAATAGATTATGCCATCCTCTGCAACAGCAACATCGTCCGTTAGTTTGAACTTTACTCCATCCGCCTCGTCCGTCAGCACTTCCACCTTACCCTCTCCTGTCACATTTAGTAGTCCCTGCCCCACACTTTTTTGTGAGATTATTACATATTTACTACTAGTAATAAAAAAATTATTTACTTAAATATGATCTTTTATACTTGCTGATTATAATATTCCCTAATACAATTTATATAATAATTTGTGATAATTTTTTATACTTCAAAGATCATAATACTATACTATAGTAATTATTACAGAGTGGTGTTTTTGTAAATACTTCATAAGTTTTATTGCAGTTCTATTTTTGAAAAACCCTCTCTGAAAGTCATTTCTTTCTTTTCTCGGATGTAACTAAATTATACAGTACTTTGTAATTCTTACTCCCTCCGTCCCAAATTAATTTGCAAAGTCAGCATTTTTTGTCAACTAACGTTAAACTTAAATCCTTCCTATCGCTAATTGATTCAATTTTTAATTATTAAAATTTATATGTTTAGAAATTACATTAAAATATCTTCAAAGTTGCAAACTTCAAATTAGAGTGTAAATAAAATTTACATACTAATTAAGTGAATAAAATAAAACTGTTGGACAAAAAAAGAAGTCAATTTTGTAAATCAATTTGGGCCGGAGGTAGTATTTCTTTTTAATTTTGACATACAACAATTTATATAAAATTCCAATTTTAATTATTTTCCTGTTGTATTGATTCTTTTCAATTCTAAAATAGGATTGTTTAGATTGAAAAATATTGTTTGAATGACAATTAATATCGTCATGTTAATGAAAATTAATTATTATTATTATTTTCATAAAAAAAAAACTCCAAAATGATAGTGAATAGTGTCATGTTATTCATATTTTAGGAAGAAAAACATAGCAGTCATATTTTGGAATTTCAAAATATGTTTAGTCATATGTTTAGAAGTTTTTCTATTCGTCGTATTCATATTACTTATGGCTCATTCTTATTTTATTCAGATCAATAACAAAATTCAGACCAGACCAAATCAGAAAGATTCAGATCTGATCAGAAGGATTCAAATAAAAAAACATTCAGAACTGATCAGAAACATTCAGATCAAATAAGAAAAATTCAGACATAATTTAAGACTTTTATTATTATTATGATTAAAATTATTATTATCATCATTATCATTACAATTGTAATTATAATTTTAATCACAATTATAATTGTAATTTTAATTATAATTATAGCAATAACTATAACCATAATAATTATAATTATAATAATTACAATTATAATATAACAATCATAATTCTAGCAATAATAATATACATACACCTATAATAATAATATTTATATATAATTATAATACAATTATAATTTTAATAATACTAATTATAATTATAATAATTATAATTAGAGTATAATAATAATAATTATAGCAATAATCATATACCTATAATAATAGTAATAATAATAATCATATAACTATATTAATGATAATAAATAGTAATAACAATAATAATTAAATAATAATAATACTAATATTGATAGTAATAATTGTAATAATAGTAATTATAAAATGATTATACTAATGATAACTTGCAAAATAAAAAATGATACTAGCCCCGTCCCACTAACATTGGGACGGAAGGAGGTGACACAATTATTAATAAACATGAGTTTATGTGGTTTATATTGAATTGATAAAGTAAAAATAAAGTAAGAATGATTTAGAACCACACAAAATTTATCAATTTTGGTATGAGACCATCTTAGTGCAATTTCCCGAAAAGGTAAAATGAGACAATCTTAGCGAGATGGAAGGAAAATAATTAGAATTATTATTATAAGAAACACTCAATGAGATCATAAATATTCAAATTAAATCAGATAAGAAAGATTCAGATTAAATCAGAAAGATTCAGACCAAATCAGACCAGATTAGAAAGATTTAGATCAGATCAGAAAGATTCAGATTGATCAGATAAAAAAGATTTAGATTAGAAAAATTCAGATCAAATCAGAGCTTAAAAAATTCAGATCACAAACATTTAGATCACACGAAGAGATCAGCTTCTCAATTGCCTTGTTTTGTGATGATCTTGATTGTCCTTTTGTTAAGGAAAATAAAAGGCGAGGGTACTTGAGAAATTCTAAAACATTTTTTGTGGCTGTGTGACTAACTTGTGTAATGAAGTTTGGAACTTGGGAGTTGGGACTAAAAAAGGATAACACTCCATCCCTGAGAACCCCAACACCTAGGGCAGAGCACGGGTCGGGTTCGGGCGGGTCGGGTTCAAAAATGGTAAACCCGTTCGGGTATCGGATTGATAATATCAAACCCTACTCGATCAAAAAATATATCGGGGTTTTCGGGTTGAAGAAGTTCGGGTTTCGGTCGGGTTGGTTCGGTTTTCGGGTCCATTCGGATTTTAATTTATTATTGTTGAAATTGTGATAAATAAAATGGTAATTGGTAAAAATATCATTCAAAGTTATACTAGTATAATATTCAAAGTAATAGTTGTATAAATACGGTGATCGACATATTTGAACATGTAAAATAATAATATACGGTGATTGGCATATTTGATATTGTGATACATAAAATGATAATTGGTCAAAATATCATTCAAAATCATAACAATACAACATTCAAAGTTATAGTTTTACAAATACGGCAATTGGAATATTGGATATGCATAATATGGTAATTGACATACAATAATTGAGATATTTGAACATGCATAATAATTCAGAGTGGTATATATACTACCCTAGTTCGGGTTTTCGGGCGGGTCGGGTAGCATAATTGGTAACCCTACCCGCTACCCGCTTAACTCTCGGGTTGCAAAAAATCGGATTGGGTTTGGGTCATTCGGGTCGGGTTATCCGACCCAAAAAATAAATTCGGATATATCCGATCGGGTCAATCGGGTAGGGTCGGGTTTGCTCTCCCCTACCAACACCGACCGGACGACACGATGGGAGGATATAAGTTGGACTATAATCATAATTTGACAGATAGAGAGTGAGGTTCCATCCCCGGTACTTGCAGAGGTCCTCTGTTGAGTAACTTTTCATCGTAGTTGCTGGGAGTCGAACCCGGGACCTAACCCTTGTGGCACTCTCGCTACCAGGTGAGGACTATGGGAGTAACTTTTTTGTGTAAGAAACTACGGGAGTTGGGACCATGGTTTGAAATAGCGGCCCACTACCGCTATAGCGGTCGCGGTAGGGGCCGCTAGTGCTACGGCCCGCTATTCGTGTGTGATTTACAAATCACGGGAAAATACATTAATAGTGATGCATGGAGTTAAACTCAAAATTAAATGTTGTGTGAATGATGTGAAAAAATACATTCATGTTTTGCGCAATTGAAAATATTTCACGCCGTTGCCAAGGGCGGATGGACATTGACACTACAAAAAAAAATGCTGGATTGACACGGAATTTGGCACGGACTTATCAATTTTTCGTGCCAAATAGCTCGTGCCAAAGTTTTTTTGGCACGGATTTGGCGTATCCCTGCCAAAATCCGTGCCAAAATCTCTGTCAATTCCGTGTTTTTTTTGTAGTGTGAGTTCAATGGGGGCACTTGCCCCCAATAAGAATTTGAATTTTAATGTTAATAACCTATTCTTTAATATGAAAAAGAAGAAGTGCCCCCAATTAAAAAATGAGAGTGTCCCCAATTAAAAAATGAGAGTGCCCCCAGCCCCCAACTCCCGACTCTTACGTAGTATAGTAATTTACAAATTAAAGAAATGAAAACAATCCCAGTCTCCAAAAGAGTGGATCATTCAAAAGAAGCGAATGAGCTAAAAAAAATCTGCATTTTTTGTTGGGCTTCATTTTTGTAATCTTTCCTCTTTTTAGTGTTTCATATTTTCATGTTTTACTAAAATTACAATGAGACTTTTTTCAAGAGGACTTGTACTGTTGTTTTTATTTTTCAATTAAGAGTACTTGTAATCATATTTCCTAAACGAAGATATATTTTTTCAAGTCTTCTCAGATGGAAAATAAGATTCAAGAGCAACAACCTTATTCTGTAAAAAAAACCATTACTACGAGTATAATGTCACAATTACTTAAACGTAAACTATGAATATATGTTACTATGAATATAGTTTACTTTTTATAGTCAATAAAATTAAGAAGTCACATTTTTTTATAGTATTTTTACTTTAGTCACAAATATGTTATTAGTTTTTAAATAAATGCATATATATGAGCTTAATGTTCAAATACATAAATGATTAAATGTATTAACTATGAGATTGATTCCAAATTTGGTATTGAGTATACGTTGGAATATTGTTTGTACAAAACTTTTTAAGATGTTTTTATTTGGACTGTTTTCATCCCAGACCAGATCAGACCAAACTAGACTTAAATAGTCATAAAATACACAAAGAATAGACGTTTACCAGACCAGAACAGAACAATTCAGACCAGATCAGACTAGGCTAGAAAATTTTTGTCCATGTAAAAACATCCTAAATGATGCCCCCAACAACTTTTTTTCCTAAATCCGTCACTGGCCGTTGCAACCGCTACAGTCGGCTACAGACCGCTACAAAGCAATGACCGCTAGTGCTATTTAAAACCTTGGTTGGGACTATGGGATTAACTTTTTTGTGTAAGAAACTACGAATGAGGTAAAACTCACAATTTCAGCATCAGCAACTATGACTTCACCGTGATGGCCAAGCGCGAGTCCAAGCGGCCTGCCGCCGGTGTTGACCCAGTCCTCCACCACCGAGTCGGCGGCGGAAGACTCGTTGACCGTCACTCTCTTGACCCACCCATCCATACACCCGGTGTAAATGACTCCCGTCTCGGGATCGTACAAGATGTCCTCCGGGCCCCACACCCGCCCCACTCCTATCTTCTCGGAACCGTGAAACATGCGACGGTTGCGGCTCGGGGCCGACACCGGCTTCTTCCGGCTGAGCTGGTCAGCCGGGTAAGGCGCCGGGTCGAACGAGTCGAGCTGGAAAATTATGATACCCAATATCACTGGCACGAGAAAAGCTGCAAAGGGCAATAGAAGACGATAATTCATATTTATTTGCTGGATTTCAGATTCTTATTCTTTCTTCAGCACAGAATTGCGGGTATATTTTTTGCATGAATCTATATTCAAATATTTTAAGTAAGATATGGAGATTGATAATGTTTGGTTATTAAGGAGTAGATTATTAAGTGACGGTAAGGAAGTCGAAGACATCCACTTCCTCATTTATACTACGTACTACGGTTTAGACAATACCGCTATTGAGCATTCCAATGATAGGAGCTGCTACTCCGTGCCAATAATATAGCGCCACGTGCATGACAATTGTATTTTCGCTCACGCATGACATGACCCTTTCGTCGCTATTTCCGATAGTTAAAATTGCCGAGAAGTGACAATAATTGATCGAAAAACATTAATCAAGTTTCAAAAGTGTACAAAGTTAAAGACAAATTAAATGTGAAATTGCCACAAAATAACCAATACTCCAAAGGTGAATTGATTTAACATTATTTGACAAAAGTTGACTGGCGGGTAAAATAAATAATAAACTAAGACTATGTAGTTGAGAATTGAGATTCGTAAATAGGTCAAAGAAATAACTTTATTGATGTACTCCCTCCGTCCCCTTTTAAATGTCCCGGAGGAGAATGACACGAGTTTTGAGAAAAGTGAGTTTGTGTGGTTGATATTAATTGATGAGAAGTGCTAGAGGTACCCCATTTTCTACCCCATTTTGTACCTCATCCTATATTTGTGGCTCACAAAAGTCCAACCCAATTAAAATAATTTCTCCATCTTTACTCATTGCTTTTGTGAACCACAAACATAGGAGGGGGTACAAAATGGGGTAGCTTTAGCATTAGTGTTAATTGATAAAGTAGAAATAAAGTAAGAATGATTTTGAACCACACAAACTTTACCAAATAAGGTATGAGACAATTAAATAGGGACATCCCAATATGGTAAAACAGAACATTTAAAAGGGGGCGGAGGGAGTATTTATTAATTTAAATGGAATAGTTTTTTGAGAGGATGAAGTATAACTATACCAAACAGGTTTAGGGTATGTTTGCAAAAGATTAAAAAATGTGATTTTCATCTTTTGGTTTAAAAAATTTGAAAAAAGTGTTTCAAGTGACAAAGTCTACTTAAATTAAACACTTAAAAGTTAAAAGCAATAATTTACTTTTTACTTTTATTATTACTACACAAAAAGTACACATTCTACATTTTTACCTAACACTACTCACTTTTACTTTTTAAAATCAATTTTTTATCAAACACTACCTACTTTTACTATAAAACATTTTTTCCAAAATCATTTAAAAATTGATTTTTTTAAAAGCAAAAACTATTGCAACCACTCTCTTATTCTATTAGAAAAGGTGCAAGCTATTAGAAAAGACAAACAAAAGTTGTGCCAATCGTACATGTTTGTTGTCAAATACTCATTAAAAACAAAGCATACTCCGTACTACTATGTTTTATCGGTTGAATCAATTTGGGCCATCAGACCATATTATAAGTTATGCATGTGCACCACCTATACACAAGGAGCCCGCTCCTGGAAATTGCAGTATGCACCCTTTCTTTTTCTGCCAGCTTTTTTTCAAAAAGGAGGAGAGCCTATCCTTGAAAGCCATCATTACATTTGCCTTGAATATTTTTAAAATATGTTTTTTTACTAATATAATTTAAATATTTAATGATCAAAGTTCTAATTTGACAAACGTGAAAAAGTGAAGTATTGCAATTGAAAGTGAATGGAGTAAATATATATGGATAAAAATGTGACTAACAAGATAATAACTTTGGAAAAACATGAAATAGCAATCGTCTGGATGAAATTGAAACAAGAAAACTGCAAAAAAAATTGGTAACGCTTTTTAATGACTTATCCGACAAGTGGCAACAACGGAGAACGTTTGTTGATGGAGGAGGCAGTGGGACATGGGGTGAGGCAAGGGGTGGGTAGTTGTGTAATTAGAATGAAAAAAAAAAGATATTTATTAAATAAAGATTAATCACTTTTTGGAAAAATAAAAAATAAGTTATATTTTTACCTTCAGAAAATTCATGTCATGTTTCCTTATTAAAATGTAAACCTAAGTAAAGTATGAGATAATTTAGATACTATTTTTATAAGGTAGATCACTTGAACAATAAACATGTAGAATACAAACAAACAAACAAACATGTAGAATATTTTTATTTATTGAAATAACACCGATACGTTATTTTTGTGAATCTACTATGATGTGGTACAATTTTAAATGACCATGTAGTCAAGTTTTGCGAATTTAGGGGTACAATCTTGCATACCGTTCAAATATGTTTTATTAGAGCAATCATAAACTCCTACAACTTTACAATTTAAATCACAAATTTAACAGGAGGTGATAAGATTTATGTTTCACCACAAGGATACTCCCCAAAACTGTCTTTCTGAACGTCTTGTGTCATTGCAATCTGCATAATATAAAGAACCAAACACATTCTTTAACATTTGAATAATCTCTATCAGCATTACAATTTACTGGACGCTAATTGTAGGTAGATCTTAAAAACAAAGTAAAACCCGTTTTATTCATTTTAAGAATGGTTTAATTTAAAAAAATTTGCTCCAAATAGAAGTAGAAGTAAAGTACAATTATCAAACTCTAAGCATCATTGTCTTCCAGCTGCTACCACCATTGCCATCTGGCTGCAGTAAGCTAGAAATTCCTCATCACACCTACCTTGGCAGCTAAAGTTTTTTTTTTAATACTGCAATGCATTAGGCCAAACCAAACACTAGCCTTGGCTTCCATTACAAGCATCTAAAATGTGCCCCATGTTTGTGAGATAATGCAAATGACTTTTTGCTTTTTTTTATGCAAATGACTTTTTGCAAGAGCATTGTTTCTTTTCTTGAGAATCAATAACAGTAAAAGATGATTGTATTTTAACCTACCTCATCCTTCCGCCTATCGTGTAGGAACCACCACGGGCCATCTTTTGCTGACAACCTGTCATGGAATACAAGTTTTATTTATTTATTGTGATGTCAACATGACTGTTGCCTAATTGAACGCCAGAATGCTGGTTTAGATATCCATAGATATGAGTGAACAATCTAAACTTCAAGCCCTTTTTTGGTTCAAAGGAGGAGAGGGGATGGGAGGAAAATGGAGGTTGTTAAACAAATATTATGTTAGGTTAGAAGAGTCCAATGAGTATTAATTATATAAGCCCTCTAACTGTAGTGAAAACATCAATTCAGTCCTCATACTATCAAAACACTCAATCAAACCCTCCAACTACTAAAAAACATCCAATCCAGCTTTTTAGCTAGCCAGTAAGTAGCTAGCCAGTAAGTACTCGCTGACATGGCTATCAACATGTATTTTTTCTTTCTAGTTTTAGACATATCAGCAACCCACATCTCAATTCGTTGTTGATAGCTTGGGAAGCATGTGACTCAGCCATCTCCCATCGTCTCTCCCGTCTCTCCGTCTCTCTAAAGCTCAGACTCCACCAATTGCTATTAATTAGTCATCCGGACAGGGGCGGATCCAGAAATCCGGCTAAATAGGAAGGTATGTTGTTTAGCGTAGGTATATGTTGTTTTGAACTTATTTAGACGGGCTTTATTAAAAATATGGGCTTCTTATTTGACGACATGTCTGAACTGTATCATTAAACTTTAAAAAAACGAGTTCCCCTATCAGGCGCAAATAGCGAGCGCTTTTTATCGCAGTTGCGCTTCAGCGCTTTTGCACCTAAGTTGCGCCTTAGGCAGGGGAGTGCGCCTGATCGTTCTTCAAGCGCTGGGGCTTCTGTGCGCTGCGCCTGGTGCGCTTAAGCGCCCAGGTGCTCGTCTTTGACTACCTTGACCGGGACGGAGGGAGTAATAATTTGAAGAAGAGGGTGGGGTTGCTTTTGGATTTGAGCTCTTCTCCTAGAAGCAGAACTAAGGCGAAAACATGGTGCAAAACAGTTGAAGGAAGAGGACTGCAGTAATCAGAAGCGGCAGATGGAGTTTATTTCACTTTTTAGTTTTTGGTGGTATTGATGACATGTCATGGAATATTTCAAGAAGAAGAAAAAATAAACCACACAATTGGCCATGTCAGTAACTGTTGCCATGACCGGTTGGCTAAAAAGCTGGATTGGATGTTTTTTAATAGTTGGAGGGTTGATTGAGTGTTTGATAGTACGGGGACTAGATTGACGTTCTCACTATAGTAAGATGGCTTATTTGACAGTTTTCTCTAAAAATTAATAACTCTGCCTAAATACCCCAGATTTGAGAGTAAGAAATGAGAAGTTCAAGGGAGCATATATCTACTCCACTTTCCTCCTTAATGTCCCCAACCAAACATACAACACTCCCTTTTTCTTCACCTCCTAAAGGTGTGGAACCATGCAAAAGATATTACTAAGGGTTGCTAAACAAAAAGATAGTTTTCTCGTCTTTCGTTTAGTTGGTTATTTAGTTACCTAAAAAATCCAGCAATAGTACGCAAACCCATGAAAATAGTCAATCCAGACCATACTGCAGGAAGACCAATGATCGGAGGCGCACAAAGCAAAAATGCAGACGCCATAGCCCCGACTGCCATCTATAAATAAAGTAGCAAAATTTGTAAAGAAAGAGTTTTGGTGTTAACGTGGTTAATTCTTTTAAAGAATAATTGATTAGAAACATAATTTTGGTGTGATTTGGTGAACACTTTCCATCTTACCATGGAGGAAGCTGCATATGGGAAATCTGAAACACCATAGTGCAGACCATCAAAAATATAAGCAAGTGCATTGATAGGCTGACTGGCACTGACAAACTGAAATAAATGTGAGTATCATATGTCAAACAAAGAAAATAAATTTTCTAGTCTTGAACAAATACAGTAAATACTCTCTTATGTTACAAAATATAAGGATGTTTTTACTTGGACTGAAATTTGCTAGTCTGGTCTGATCTGGTCTGAACTGATTTGGTAAGTTTCTGGTCTCTGTGTATTTTATAACTATCCAAGCCTGGTCTGGTCTGGTCTGATCTGGTCTGTGACTGAAAAAAGTCCAAGTAAAAACATCCTAAGTCATATTTTTCAAATCATCACTACCACAGAGATAGTTGATTACTCAAAAGCTTGATACTCCCTCTATCACTTTTATTCTTCTCTTTAGAGCACAATTATTGAGAAAGTAAAAACTGTGTAGTTGCAATTTGTTAAGAAGAGATAGAA